CCTCCCTTTCTGGAAAGCAGCTAATGGGACTAAAAGGCATGATTTACACCATCAAATAATCCAATAAGCAAGGAAACACACTTACTTGTGCTTTCTTACTAATCTGTAGTGAACATTTTCACTTTTAAAAAAAAAAAAATTTTTTTTTTTTTAACCACATCAAAGATTCTTCTCTAGGTATGCTTCTAGGTATAGCTGGCATCTGTCTCTCTCCCAACCTTACAGCACCTTCCTACAGAATCAGAGTCTCTTTTCAAATTTATAATCCCTGACAGTGATGAGGTACCATCCACTAAGCAAGGTGAGCACTGTCTTACTTACTAATCTGTAGGGAACAGTTTCACATGTTTTTCACCGCATCGGGGTAACCCAACCCTGGGTGTGAATAGTGTTTGTGTGGCTGGAGAGACCACTGTTCCATTTCTGTCCTCAAACCCTGAAAAAGGTGGCTTCTTCAATGCAATTCCAGGATGCGCATGCATACAACTCTCCTGAATGAGTGTAATTTGTGAAAAGAAAGAATCATATAAAACAAAAGAGCAAAATGGTAATTTTAACATATTATTGTAGTGGTATTTTATCAGACCAGATTAATAGAAAGCAAAGAATGAGCAATGCTAGTCACAGCTTCTCCGTTCAGCAATTTTACTGACTAACCTACCTACCTAATCTACCTATATCTATCACTTACTTACCTATATACCTACCTGTCTATCTACCTATCCCCCTTTTCTATTTATCTATTGCCTACCTGCATATCTATCTTTCAACCTATCTATCTGTGGAGCCCTGGTTGCACAGTGCTTAAGTGCTCAGCTGTTAACCAGAAGGTTGGTGGTTGGAACTCACCAACCACTCTATGGGAGAAAGATGATTACAACCTTGGAAAATCTAAGGGGAAGTTCTACTCTGTCCTTTGGGTCACTATGAGTTGGAATTGATTCAACAATGGGTTTGTTTTTTTGGTATCTATCTATCCATTCACCCATTCACCCACCCATCCATCTGTCATCTACCTACCTACCTACTGAGGTTCAAAGGACTCTTCAGTGTTTCTTTCCTACTTTTCAGCCAGACTTCCCTTCTTTTCCATTTGAATGGAGAGCCCTTCTTCATTTGCAGACTAGACAAAACTTTCTATGCCTGGTTGATATGAGGAACTATCTATGGTAGGCTCCCTACTAGTCAGCCTCAAACTGGTAGACGAAGGGATAGCTGTGTCCTGACTTGAGACTTAGCAGCTTATGGGCCTGGTGCCCTTCAAATCAACATCTGACTGCAAAAGTCAGCCATTTTCAACTGGCTTTCTAGTCCTGATTCTATGAGTTGCTGTGGCCCTGTAGAAATGACACATGCTCTGCACACCTAGTGCTAACATCTGTGCCATTTGGACAATCATGTCAGCTGGACCCACTTCAGCTCTTCTCCTGTCGCTCCTGTTGTGTGAAAATTAAGAATTAAAGGATGATAAGTATACAGCTAAGACAGACATGGAGGAATATTAAGAGAAGATGTGCTAATTTAGCAGACCGGGAAAACGGAGTTTGAGACAGGAAGTAGGAAAATATATATACATTTTTGATAGAAAATCTAATAGAAAAAGGAACAAAACATTTGTAAAGCACTTCATAAAGAAGATATACTAATGATCAATAAGCACATGAGAAGATACTCAATTCATTACCATCAAGGAAATGCAAATCAAAACCACAATGAGACAAGCCACCAGAATGGGTATAATGAAAAAAGACAGATAATGACAAGAAACGGCAAGGGTGCAAAGAAATGGGAATGTCAATTGGTGTAACCACTTTGGTAAACAATCTGGCAGTTTCTGGAAAGGCTGAATATAATGACCATATGACTCAGCATTTTAACTCCTAGATATGTACCCAAGAGAAATGAAAACATATTTCCACACAAAAACTTGTACATGAATGTTCACAGTAGCATTATTCATAACAGCCAGAAAGTGGTGGAAAAAATCATTCTTAACCAATATCAACAAAATGTGTTATATCCACAGAATGGAATATCACTCAGCAAATAAAAAAGAATGAAGTACTGACACATGTCACAACATAGATAAACCTTGAAAATGTTATACAAAGTGAAAGAAGCTAGTAACAAAAAGGTCCACATTGTATGATCCTATTTATATTAAATGTCCCCAAATAGGCAAATCTTTAGAGAAAGAAAGTAGATTCGTGGCTGCCTAGAGCTAGGGGAAAGGAGATGCTTAAGGGGTGACGGCTAAAGGATAATGGGATTTCTTTGTGGAGTGATGAAATGTTCTAAAGTTGATTGTCATGATGGTTGTGTAATTCTGACTATATTAAAAGTAATTAAGTTGTACACTTTAAAGTTATATGGTATGTGCATTACATCTTAGTAAAGCAACCTAAAATATCTACAGGGAGATAATACTACATATTCACCAAAATGGCTAACCTGAAAAAGACTGATAATACAACATTGGTGGGGATAAACAGCTACCAGGACTCACATGACAGCTGGGAGTATAAAGGGCAGCTTTAGTAGGCAAAAGGAGCTCTGGTGGTGCAGTGGTTAAGGCATTTGGCTGTTAACTAAAAGGTCAGTAGTTTAAACCCACCAGCCACCTCAGAAACCCAAGGACGGGTCACTATGAGTTGGATCTGACTCGATGGCAGTGGGTGGGTGCGTAAGCCACTCCATGGGAGAAAGATGAGGCAATCTGCTTCTGTAAAGATTTATAGCCTTGGAAACCATATGGGGGCAGTTTTACTCTGTCTTATAGGGTCAGTATGAGTCAGAATTGACTCACTGGCTGCGGGTTTTTGGGTTTTAGTAGGCAAATGTGCCTTCTAAAACTAAACATATATGAAAGCTATAACCCACCAGTTCCAGTCCTAGCTATATCTTGTTATGTGCTGTCAAGTCATCTCCGACTCATAGTGATGCCTCCTTGGGTTTCCGAGGCTGTATCACTACAGAAGTAGAGTGCCCAGTCTTCCTTCTGAGGAGTAGCTGGTGGGTTTGAACTGCTCACCCCATGTTGTTGTGTTGTTATATGCCATCAAGTTGGACCCGACTCATAGCGACCCCTCCTTGGGTTTCCAAGGCAGTATCACTACGGAAGTAGATTGCCCAACCTTCCTTCTGAGGAGTGGCTGGTGGGTTTGAACCGCCAGCCTTTGCTCACCCCATAGGCCTGTCTATTTTCAACAACAAAAAGTAAAGAGGAATTTTTTTAAAAAATGGTTTAACAGAGTAATTGGACTACCAAAAGAAGTAGTTTTTTTGGTAGAAATGCAGAAAACATACTTGAAGCAATAATGGCCAAAACGTTTCCAAATTTGATGAAAACTATCAATCTATATACTGAAGAAGCTCAATAAACCCCAAGCAGGTAAAACACAAAAAACAGCACACCAAACTACATCACAATCAAAGTAATGAAAACCAATGAAATGAAAACTAGACTAAGACATTACAAGAAAAGGAAACCATAGACTAATATTCCTCATAAACATAGATGCAAAAATCTTTAAGAAAATATTAATAAAATCCAACAATATTTGAAAAGGCAAGTCCATTATGACAAAGTAGAGAGTATACTCAACAGAAATATATAAATAAATAAATAAACAAACAAACAAACAAATAAATAAATATAAAACGAACCCACTGCCATCAAGCTGATTCTGACTCATAGTAACCCCCATTGGGTTTGTGAGGCAATAAATCTTTATGGAAGTAGATTGCCACATCTTCCTTCCACAGAGTGGCTGGTGGGTTTGAACCACTAATCTTCTAGTTAGTAGTTAAATGCCTTAGGCACTGCATCACCAGAATTCCTCCATGTATATATATATACACACACACACTAAAAGACATGTAAAATAATATTTATAGCAGAATTTTATATCATAGCCCCAAAATAGAAACAAGTATTCATCAACAGTGGAACGGATAAATAAATGGTGGTACACTTATACAATGGTATATTATACAGCAACAAGAATGAAGAAACTACAACTACATCCAACAATATGGATGAATCTCACAAACTAGTATTGAGCTAAAGAAGCTACACTTGTGAGAATACATAGTGTCTGATTTCATTTACTTACAGTTCAAAAGCAAGCAGAACTTGCTTGTGATTTTAGATGTTAGGACAGTGGTTGCCCTGGAGTGAAAGTAGAGATTGAAAGGGAGAAAGGGGAGCTTCTGGGATGATGTTTTTTTATTCTGGGTCCTGATTTCATGATTGTGTTCATTTTGTGAAAATCAGCAAGCTGTACTTTTATGATTTGTGCATATTTTTGTAGATATGTACAATGGCTTTGAAAAATGGCTACAAATTCTTCAGCTTTCCTCCTATGAAGAGATAAAGGTCTGTCTTCTTTTCTGGAGTCTGGGTTTGTGACTCACTTGTAACTAACAGAAGGTGGGGGAAATGACAAACCAACACTTCCAAGAATAGATTAGAAATGGTGATGGAGCTGCTAACTTGTCCGCTGGGACTCTCTCTTTTGGAGCCTCAAGCTGCCATGCAAGAAATCCAATTACCCAGCAGTGCCATGTTGTGTGGAAGATCAGGTGATGTGGAGGGGCCACAAGTTGGTGCTCCAGTTGTCAGTCTGAACTGTATCTCACCATCAACCACCAGACATATGAGTGAGATCACCTCTAGATGATTCCAGCCTCTGTCATAGACTAGCCTTGAGTGAAGCTCCAGACGTTGGGGAGCAGAGAAAAGCCATTCCCACTGTGCCCTGTTCAAAATCCTCACCAGTAGAATCTGTGAGTAGAATAAAATATGTTTTAAGCTGCTAAATTTTATGGTGATAATAATAACTGGAACAGTATATTAGACTTCAACAAAAAGTTTACTTTAAAAAGATGTTTTTCTTGTGCATGTTGCTTTGGCAAAATTATTAGCTATTACTATTCTAGAGGTATGATTCCAGAGATACAATATTACATTTTTATTTATTTTTTTGTTCCCCCCATAGACATCTCTGAGATGGCTTCCAATGAGACTAACTCAACCATCCTCTGCCTTTCTTACCTCCTACCCAAGGCGGCCAGCATGGTGCTCTCTCTGTTCTACACAGCCCTCTTCATCTTCAGTGCCCTGGGAAACATCCTTGCCCTTTGCCTTGCCTGCCAAAAGGGTGAGAAGATCAACTCAACAGGCATCTACTTGGTCCACCTGGCAGTGTCTGACCTCTTGTTCACATTAGCCCTTCCCGGAAAGATCACCTACTACGCCCTGGAGTTTAGCTGGCCTTTTGGTGACTGGTTCTGTAGGCTGACGGCATTCATTTTCTACCTAAACACCTACGGGGGTGTCTACCTCATGACGTGTGTGAGTGTGGACCGTTACCTGGCTGTGGTCCGTATTCACCAGTGTTCCAAGCTCCGCAAGGCTGGCCGAGCACAGTTGGTGTGTGTGTGTGTCTGGGCCCTGGCACTTCTGCAGACGGTGCCTTTGCTCTTCAATCCCATGACCAAGACTGTGGAAGACAAGCTGACCTGTATGGAATATGCCAGCATCGAGCACATCCTCAATCTGCCCCTCATGGTCCTGGCGGCCTGTGCTGTAAGCTTCTGTGGGCCAGTAGGGATTATATTATTTTGTTATGTGAAGATTACCTTGAAGCTATGTAAGGTGGCCCGGGCAAACCCTCTGACAAGCAAGAAAGGGCACCACCGCAGGGCCTACCTGCTCATTCTGGTGGTGCTGGTCACCGTGGTGGTGTGCTTCAGCCCCTACCACCTCAACATCATCCAGTTCATGCTGAGACAGCTGCTCCATCCCGCATCCTGCCCAGAGCAGAACACATTCAAACTGTCTCTTCAGATCACGGTGTCCCTCATGAATATTAACTGTTGTATTGACCCCATCATATACTTCTTTGCATCTAAAGATTATAGGAAATGGCTCCTCAGCATTTTAAAACTCAGAGTGTCAGCATCGTCCTCCTCCTCCTCAGGAAAAGCTTCCTCAGAAACACCGAGTGTCAATCAGACAGTAGGCTCTGTCCCCCTAGCGGAGAGCAAGGCCTAAATTGTCACTGGCATTAAGACTTTGTCTAAAGAGGGGGCTGAGATCTGGAAGCCTGAAGCTCATACAATTGAGAGAGGGAGACTCTTTAAGAAAAAGAATACAAAATAACAAAAGCAAAATTAGATACGGGATCTTGGATGGGACTGTGTAGTGATGGACCCTGAAACTTGAATTTCAATTGCTTCATGATAAATCCACTTCTAATGTGTCAAGTTCATAACACTGAACTTGCATTATGAACTTGCGAGTTCATAACATTGGAGCTTCTTGACCTCTGAAGGCTGTATGTGACATTTCTTCTAGAAAAAGAGTATTTTCACAGTGAATGCAAACACCACCAAATGAATTGTTGCCTGAGTACTACATCGGCAATTTAGAGTGTGTTTCGATTTTGGGAACTGACATGTTGTAAAGGGCAAAATTGGAACCCAGCATAAAAACTAACAGACAAACAAACCACTTCTAAATGCCTACAATTAATATCTACTAAAATGTCAAGGTTTTTCTGCAAAAGTAATATATATATATTTGTTGTTGTTGTTGTGTGCCCTCGAGTTGGACCCAACTCATAGTGATCCCTCCTTGGGTTTCCGAGGCAGTATCACTACAGAAGTAGGATTGCCCAACCTTCCATATATATATATATATATATATATATATATATATATAAAGGCTACACTGCAAGCTATTAACCTGGCTGCCTTTAGAGAGCAGCAGGGAGCAGGGTTTAATGTTCATTTTTATTTTGTTTGAATTTTGTGCAACAGGAAAGCGTTCACATATTACTTGTATAATTGGGGGAAATGCTAGGGAGAAAAAAAGGCAAAAAACAAGGAGCAATTTTTCATCTGTTTGTTCTGTGTGTGTCAGAGAGGACTTACAACCATGGATGTGTTGTTTACATTAGATAGAAACAGACCATTTGTGGAAACTTCTGGAGTTTAAAGCAATTTACACAGCATTTCAACTTGAGCGATTTTGCATTCTGTAAAATAAAACTCTAGCCTCTCTGCCAAAGTGCAGAGGGCATCATGGCCAGTGTTGTTGTCTAGGTTCTCATCAGTGCTTCCACCAGACACATTGGCGGTTTCTCATCTTGATACTCTGCCTCCCACCTTCAAGTGCTGAGATAAGGCAATGAGATCAATCGTTCCAGTTGCAACTGCCAACAGGAAGGAGATGAAGCCACAGAGGAAGATCTCAGGGTGGAAGAGAACCCATCAGTACCTCCTGACTGCAGCCAATGTTTGTGGAGAACCTATAATATGCTAAGTCTTGCAGTGGATTCATCTCCCTCTGCCTTTCTCTTAAAAGGACACCTGTTACTGGGTTTAGGATTCACCCTAACCAAGGATGATCTCACTTTGAGATCCTTAACTTGACTACAACTTCAAAGACTCCCCACCCACCCCAAGTAAGATAAGAACTCACAGGTTCCAGTGGTTGGGACTTGGACATATCTTTTTTGGGGCCACCATTCACCCACTATGATGTGCCCTTGAATAGTGTTTCTTAAACTTTAATGTGAATACTAATCATCTGAGTATTTGACTGAGTCATCAGGTCTAGGGTGGGCCCTGAGATTTTGCATTTCTGACAAGCTCCCAGGTGATGATGCTGCTGGTCCACAGACCACATTTTGAGTAGTAAGATTTCAGAAGATACAAAATTCAGAACAAGTATAGGTTATCTCCTTATTTGCTCTATTATCCCATTAAGTTACGATTCTCGACTTTAGCTGCACACTGGCATCATTTGGAAAATTTGAAAAATACTGATGACTGGGTCTTATCCCCATAGATTCAGATTTAATTGGTCTGTGGTGTGGTCTGGGTATTGGAATTTTAAAAAGGTCCCCAGTGATTCAGACACACAGCTAATTTTGAGAACTGCAGCACAAAAGAAAGGAAGAGATTAAAGAGATATTTTGAGGGTGAAATCAGGAGGGAAGGCCTGCCTGTGATTTTTAGGGAAAATAAAATGAGGCACGAAGTCAAGGTTAAAAGTATATGAGAATGTGGACAGCAACAGGAATGACTGGTAGGGCACTTGGTTTGAAAACAATGCAAATGATTTTGATTTTGGTGGAGAGGTGTTAAATCAATGAAGATAGCAATATGGTGTAGGAGAGGTGAAGTTTCCTTCCCTCACATTAAACATTAAACATTTATTATATCAACCCAAGTAACTAAAGTTAATGAGTTGACCACACACTTATTTGGAAAATTATTTTTCAGTCAAAATGCTCCATTTGCAGATTGTGGCAACCTGATCCAAGAACGGGATTGGCACCAAGACACTGAAACCACTCAATCATTTTGTGAAAAATCACATGCTAATTATGACAGCATGGCATCCAGCTGCCTACATGTGTATGACCCAGTGGTGGATGATGACCACCGTGTTAATTACTATCTGCAAAACTCTTCATACACCTGCCTTAGTTTCTCTGTGAATGATGGGGATGTACTAAGGTACACTTTGCTCTCAGTAACTCAAGAGAACTGGAAAGAACTTAGGAGCTGCTGTGGGCCACAACTAATGTGTGCTAGAAATGTAATTTATTTCTTAATAAATTCCTAATGATGTCTAAATTTCTATTTTTTACTTCATCTGGCTATAACTCAACCAAATCTCCATTTCAAGCTTTTGTTCCTTCTCATGGAAGAAAACATGTGTCATGGTCAGTTCTGGTAGACTCAGTCATTTCAGCTGTACACCTCCTATTCAGATGCTTCCCCTCTCTGCACTTTTCCTGGGGGCAGCTAAGTTGTAGGTGGTCACTTATACTGCATCATGGCGCCGTTTGCTGGAATGACCATGCTGCTAGCTGGCTCCCAATAGTAAGGTCCCTGGCTCTCCCTTACCCCAGTGGCCCCTGCCACCATCTAGTTGACCATTTCCATGTCACACTGCACAGGAAACTCAGACATCGCTGCCACCCTCAAGCTTTTACACAGGAACTGTGGCACATGGCTTTTATTTTTCTTGGATCCCCCAGTTAAACAGGGAGTCTATAATTCTCACTTACCCATTTGAACTGTTACTTGGAGAGAATATGTCAGTTCCATGGTCCCTTCTTGGAGATCTTTGCCAGCATCTAACTGTCCTGTTCACTCATTCCTGAACATATCTCATTTCAGACGCTCTTTGCTAAGTCCAAGCCATCCCATTCCTGACCCTCCCTAGCTATAAGACCCCACACTACCTCCAAGTCCTACTGGAAAGTGACATTAGAAAGAATGTTTAAAATATTACTTGGCTAAAAAAAAAATTGAACTTTAAGAGTTTGGTTTTCAGGCCCTGTCAAAATATTCCCATGCCAAAGTGGAAGCATCAGAGTGGTCACTTCCAAGTGTCTCCTAAATCTGCATCTGTGAGCTGAATACACAGGAAGGCATGAAGGTCAAGGGGAGCTCGTAGATTAGGGATCTCTAATGAGATCCTGAGATTCCATTCCTTGGAGGTGAAAGATTGGAGAATGGGTGCCTCAATAGCAAAGATGTCCAGGGAGATTCTACCACTGGGTGGAGGCTCACAGAATGACCTATAAGAATTTCTATCAGTTGACATTTTAAAGGGGAAGAACAGAGAGTTTCATGAGTCAAGTTCGTAGATACCCAAATGTTCCTATGGGTTCTTGGCTTTCTCTAGAAAGCACATTTCCACTGAAAGTCACCTATTCCTAGGCACTGCTGCAAACCACAAGTTAACCACCTTTCCATGTTTCATACAGCTTTTTTTCTCATTTCACCAAGTGATTGCGTATGAGACCAGGAAGCTCCACTGGCATGTGATTGTTGGAGGACAGCAAGATCAGGGATAGGATGTAACACCCTCGGCCACACCAACCCTGCAGTGCAAAGGTCAAAGTCACTTTTCAGGCAATATAAATCCCTCATGACATGGATGCTTCGGCTTCTCTTTAATTGTTGAAAACCTGAGAGTTACAATTTTTTAATGCCAAATGTCTACTATTTCTTCCAATGTTCCAATTCCTTGATTCCAAGGAGCCCTGACATATTTCTGTTGTCTCTAGTTGCTGCTACAAGTAGACAAGCATCAGTGTATGGCCCAGTCCTCGGGGAGCAAGGAGCCCTCTCTGTGTGTGTGCTTGCCAGAAATTCAGTCCTGGTAGTCATCGAGTCTATCCCCAAGTGTAAAGCACTGCTTTCAAGACTCTCCCTGTTTTTATTGTGGAGGTAAGAAAGATGAAAGAGGGCATGTGAAAAGGGCAGGCTGGGGTCATCCTTTATCACCAGTAACTACTATTTTCTTTCTAGGCCAATGCTCATTTTCAACATTGATTTCTTCATTAATTCATTGCGTATTCATACATCCATTGGGTATTTCTGACAAGTACTGAGGAGACAGTGGGAATAAAGTAGATAGATGTGGTTTCTAACCTGTGGGTCACATAGACCCAAACCCAAACCCAAACCAAACTCACTTTGGTTGAGTCAATTCCAACTTATGTAAGCCGACAGGGGACATATAAAACCTGTCTTAATTATCTAGCGCTGCTGTAACAGAAATACCACAGATGGGTAGCTTTAATAACAGAAATCTATTTTCTCACAGTTTATTGTTGTTGTTGTTGTTTTGCCGTCGAGTCGGCCCCGACTCAGCGACCCCTCCTTGGGTTTCCGAGGCAGTATCACTACGGAAGTAGGACTGCCCAACCTTCCTTCCGAGGAGTGGCTGGTGGGTTTGAACCGCCAGGCTTCTGGTGAGCAGTCAAGTGCCTTAGGCACTATGCTACCAGAGCTCCTATTGTTGTTGTTAGGTGTTGTTAATTCCAACTCATAGTGACCCTAGGCACAGCAGAACAAAACACTGCCTGGTCCTGTGCCATCCTCACAATCCTTGCTATACTTGAGCCTGTCATTGCAGCCACTGTGTCAACCCATCTTATTGAAGGTCTTCCCATTTTTCTCTGACCCTCCACTCTACCAAGCATGATATTCTTCTCCAGGGACTGGTCCTTTTTGACAACATGA